TAACCAAAATTGGACAAATCAAACACAGGATACTCTTCTTTGGTAATGGAAAAAAAATACTTCAATCTTTTAGTTTAAGTAATTTATAAATGTGAGCGTGCATTGATGAAATAAGTATCTTTTGTGTAACTGCAAAGGAATGCCTTGGTTGTTTTATTTCTCTCTGGGGTCTTGTGTCGTGACTAAAGCACACAATCGCTTTGTACATAAGAGAGGCCAAGTAAAGGTGTTGATTATCTGCTAACCTTGGCTTACTCGTGTCTAAAGGATGTGGATGTGTACAAGGCAGATATTCTGTTTTAGATGTAAACTTACTCGAGATGAGCATAAAGAATAAGAGTTCCACCTTGTGAGGTGTTATGTGGTACAAGTGATCTGTGTCATGAAGCAGGATTTGGGCGTTCAATATAGTATGGGGAAACTCAAACAATCAACAAGGAAATGAAGCAGGTCTAATATGTGTAAAGAAGTTATCAGCCCTACTCTGTTTTATGAGGTGTTTTTGTCTTCCAGTGAGTTGTTGTGGTTTTCTGTCCTGAAGTGTTACTGCTTTGGTTCACTGTCACCGATCAGTCTGGTTTGAACCAGTTGTTTTCAGAAAAAAAGCTCAGACTCTACACAGTCTGCTAATATGTAAACATGCCGCTCTTTCCAGCAGAAGTTAGTGAACACCAGTAACAGACCTCAAAGGGAAGTAACAAAATGCACACCGTATAGTAGTAAAGTGTGTCTAATTTGATTGCAGTTTTTCCAAAGACTTCTATAGAACCTGAACTCCTTTTTTGTTTGTTTGTTTTTTATCACAACTGAGTGCAAGTATTGGCTCTTCCACATTGGCTTCATTTTTTTTTCAGGTCTTGGAGCCATGTCCATTTTTTATATCATCTATAGTTGTCAGCTAGTCTGACAAGCAAGGGGCATTTATAGGCCATATTTAGCAGAAATAACTGCTAAATAATAGGCAGTTATTATTTTTCACATAAATCCATTAAAAGCACCCCAAAAAGGTTTGAGTGCCGCAAACATGGTTAAAAGGTCTTTTGGAGCCTGCCTCAGGTGGTCATATGAGGAGCTGCAGCCGGTGGCAGTTCAATGTTAGCAGGATTTTTCAGCTCCAGAGAAGTCCACTTTGTTATAAAATGTTGATTATGAAGCCTTGTTTCTGAGTGAGTTATTTAGCCTGTAATCCTACTTCATGATGGTTACTTCAACAAATGTTTCCATGTCAGAGATCACAACGTGAAGCACATCACATATCTTGCATATGTTTGACATTGACAAAGAGAGGAACAGATGGAAATCTGAAAGAAGGCCTTTTTGAGTAGATTGCATAATTGTCTTTCCCTGCTTCACACACCTTTGTGAAAGCATAAGAAGACTATGAGGTTATGTATGTCAAGAATTTGAGCTAAGCCACTTAGTTTTTGTTCACTGAGGTCTGGTGATTGCATGGATCACACTCAGGGGATTGCACTAGATTTTGAAAAGCCCCAAAATGTAGCAAAATCTCACTGTTACACCAGGGTGTCGCATATAGTACACGCGTCACACGTTACTTTGAGTAATTGCTAAACGATGCATTT